GTAAAGGGTTTCTCTTCCATGTCAGGTTATTTAGTGCTTATCTAGAATACAAATTCCCTTAAACTTGTCTGAATTAGCGGCTTAATGGTTTTGTTTAAAAATCACAACTGAGAGTATGTCATGCATCGAATGTTGTGAATGCAAATAAACAAGGTCTATAATTAATAAATAATCACCAAAAAGGGCAGTATTACCAAGTCCAGAATGATGTTTGGTCTAACTTCGAAATTTCATTACTAGTTTTATTCCCACTTTTCCACCTATTATATTTTTTGCCAAGATAAATTGTACAAGATACAACACTTGACTTTAAAGAACTTCGTAATGTTTCTTGCACCAATACACATTCAAGATACAACATTTGACTTTTAAAGGGAGTTGATGCTAGTCAACCGTATTATATGTACGCGCTTCTAAGCAGATTGGGTTCTATATATATTCACAGAAAAGCTGCTACTACCATAACGATACATAATCACCAATATAGAAAACAATGTCTTCTTCAGGGGTAAGCCTAGAAAAATGTCGAATTCCAATAGAGGAGATCATTCGGGCCACAAAAAACTTCAGTTCAGATTCAGAAACTCTGGTCGGAGAGGGTGGATTTGGTATGGTCTACAGAGGAGAACTCTCTAACGACTGGAAAAACCAGTTAGTAGCCATCAAACGCCTTGATCCTGATAGCTGTCAAGGAACCAACGAGTTCCATAATGAACTTAAGTTGGTTTCAAGTTTCAACCATCCAAACATCATCCCCTTCGTTGGCTACTGTGATGATGCAAATGAGAAAATTATAGTTTGCAAGTATGCTACTAACAGAAGCCTTGATTATCACCTCGGAAAGCCAGATAGGAGGAGTTGCCTTCCATGGGCACAACGCCTGAAGATATGCTTGGGTGCAGCAAGAGGAATAAAGTACCTTCACTCGGGTGTTGGGGAGTACAGGAGAGTAATTCATAGAGATATGAAGAGTGCCAATATTTTGTTAGATGATAATCTAGAAGCCAAAATATGTGATTTTGGTTTGTCAAGATTAGCTCCAAGAAATCTTCCAGATACCTATGTACATACAAGGGCTGCTGGTACAAGGTTTTACATTGATCCGGTTTACAACGAAAGAGATAGGCTCACAAAAGAGTCTGACATATATTCATTTGGACTGGTAATGTTCGAAATGTCAAGTGGGATGATGGCTTATCATGTAAGGCGTTTTCCAGATACTCAGGCACAATCTATGATCGATATAGTCCGAAGCTATTATGATGACGAGCATCAACACGTTGATAGACTTGACAAGTTAATAGATCCCACTATCAAAGATCAGATTGATATGAGGTCTTTTCATAAATTTAACGAAATTGCACATGAGTGCATTAACTTGGAGATAAAGAAACGCCCTACGTTGGATATGATCATCAAGGGGGTCGAGGAAGCACTGAATATTCAAGTAAGTCTTTTATTCGATGTTTTTGTGAAAATATATTTTCATAGCAAGAATGAAAACTATCATGCTTGGACCCTATATGCTTTTAGTTATCGATATTCTTTTAACTAAGCTTCTAATCTTTTTTACAACAATATGTTTTCAATAAAAGAAAGGATTTGTTTTTGTTTTAATTTGGTTCTAAAAAGTAACTTTAACTGCTCATCGGACTCGCATGTCCTTTTTCTATATTATTTTTGACCAGCTTCTGCTAAAATTTGACCTCATAATAGTTATTCCCTACACGAAGCATCCAAATCGACGAGCAGGAGAGTGAGAAAAAGTTTTATATGTTGGGGGCCAACGACCTAACCATTGAATCGCAAGATGACACTCGATACTGGGAATGGGGATGTATACCTGAATCAAGGTCTCTTTCATTCTCTCTTAAGCGTCACGTTTTAGGTTGTTAATATACTGAATTTGGCATTCATGAATATATGTATGTTGCCGTTTCTCTAGGTTCCCGGAGGTGTGCATACTTAAAGAAGTATGGTGGCTTGAGATCCATGGCAAAGTAGCAGTTGTGAAGCTATCACAAAAGGGTACATATGTCGCCTATCTTGTCTTTCGAACTACTGAGGGTTGCAGTGGACTTACTCTTCCAGCAAAATCAAGTGTCAGTTTTGGTGGGGTAAGAACAGAGACCGAAAAAGTTTATCTTCAAATACCACGGCGTGTGCAGCAAGACTATGTGATTCCTCATATGAGAAACGATGGGTGGATGGAGATTAAGTTGGGAGAATTCAAGTACAAGGAAGGAGACGATGGGGAAGTTGAGATGGTGTTTAAGGAGCTTTCGCTTCACATGCGGAAGAGTGGTCTTATCGTGGAGGGCATGGAGATTCGGCCTAAATAAGTAAATAACCATTCTTGATTTATTGTATTTATTCAAATTATAGATTAATATACTACGTATACTTTGTTATTCAATAATGAAATGTATTAGTAATAAAATAAAATTATTTAATATATGTATATGATTTCTAATTTTATAAGTTGCTGTAAATTACTTCCATCGTTGTAATCCTTAATGATGTAGTTTTATTTGAGTTGTTAATATCTACTTGCACTGTGTTTTTAATGTATGATGTTATCTACCCAAGATCGCTGGGCACAGGATATCAAGTCGTCTTTAAGGCTATTTGTGTAGGTTGTTCACTATTTGGATAAAACCGAAATGTTTAATTGGACAATTTGAATTTGACTATTTGGTTCGGATATTCGGATTTTTGGATTGGTTTTCGACAAAACCGAATTATTATTTTGGATTTCGGATTGGTTTAGGTTTATAAGGTAAAAACCGAATAGTCCAAAAAAACCGAATAACAATTTATTATTTATTTAATTTTAATATATCTATAATTATTTATTAATTTTGTAATTTATTTTTTCAATTAAGTTTAAAATGTTTCACCTAATAAAAAACATTAATATGCATTTTATTTCAAAAGTTTTTTATCTATTAAATATTAAACTATAATATACCTTCTTAATTGTTAATAGTTGTTTATAAATTTTAAATCACAACTAAATAATTTACTTTTGCTTCTTGTATAAAATTAGCTAATATTATAATTATATGTCATTTTTAAATGTTATGGTTTTTGAAACCGAATTATAAAAACCGATCCAACCGAATTGTAAATGGATCAGATCGGATCGGAGGATTTGAATTTAATTTAGACTATTCAGATCTTTATTTTGAAAACCGAAATCAATTTGGATTTACTAAATTGGATCGGATCGAACCGATCCATCCAAAGGAACATCTCTACCGGTGTGGGCAACGCCCCACCAGCGTTTTTCCGACGTGGCACCAAGAAAACGACATTACCAGGGCGCAAACACCCCCTCCCTTCAAAGTTTTTGTGCGTTAAAGGCTTGTCGTTGCTTTCCGTTACCACCATAACCTCCGGCAACGCCGTTTCCTTCTTAAATCAGATAAAAATGTCGGTCGGGATAACCTAAGGCGAGTAGGTATGGGCAACGCCTAGACGCGTTGTTTCGACGTGGAACCCAAACAATGTCGTTAACACGGTTTGAACACCGCCCTAGATTCGCGGTTTACGTCGTGGGACGTTACTATTGAAACAGGAGGCAACGGAGGGTTTTGGCTTGGATTTGGCATTAAACGGTCATATTTAGACCGTTGTTACATGGTCACAATTTAAAAAAAAATCATTTTAACTCTATTATAAATACAAAATTTACTATTAAAAAGCATTTCATCCATTTCCCTTTCATACTCTTCCCACCGTTTTAGATACTGTTCTTGATGATGATAATGAGGGTTATACTTCAATATCTCATGATCAATCTTCTTTTTTTGAGAATGAAGAAAACATTGTAGATTTACCTACCTCAAATAGACCTCAAAGAAATTGTATCAAACCTACATATTTGCAAGATTATCATTCCATCTTCTACAAAATGAGCCATGTGATTCCAATGCTAGATATCCCCTTAAAAATGTTGTGACATACTCAAGGGTTTCTTCACAACAAAAAGCTTTTACTTTGGCAATTTCTGCTAAAACAAGAAGCTGCTCTTTCAAAAGAATAGACAGAAGCAATGAATGATGAGTTGCATGTTTTAGAAGTAAACAACACTTGGTCAGTTGTTCCTTTTACCAAAGACAGAAAAGCATTGGGTTGTAAATGGGTATTCAAAATAAAACGAAAAACAGATTGCACTACTAAGCGTTATAAGGAGCGTTTGGTGGCTAAGGGCTTCAACTAACAAGAAAGAGTTGACTGTATTGACACTTTCTCACCGGTTGCCAAATTAGTGACAGTCAAACTTCTATTGTCAATTGTAGTACAACAATCATGACCCTTACTCCAATTAGATGTGAACAATGCTTTCCTTAATGGAGAGTTAATAGAAGATGTATACATGCAATTCCATCAAGGTTATACGCCACCAAAATGTAATTCCGCACATACCAAACTTGATTGCAAACTTCAGAAATCCTTTGTGGATAAAGACAATCCTCAAGGCAGTGGAATGCAAAGTTTTCTTCATTCTTAATCATAAAGGGTTTTATGCAATCAAAAGTCGATTAATCTTTATTCTACAAAGTTCATGGTTCTTCATATGTTGCCCTCCTCGTTTATGTATATGATATATACATCCACAAATGAAATTCAATTGGTCCAAGATCGATTAAGTGTTGAATTCAAGTTAAAGCATTTGAGAAATTTGAAGCATTTTCTTGGTTTGGAAATTGCTAGAGATCACAAAAGGGCATAATTGTCTCTCAGTGAAATATTCTCTTGTTCTTCTTCAAGACACTGGCATGCTTGCAACAAAACCAACACATTATCCACGGGATCCAAAACATAATATTTCTAATTTTGAAGGTAAGGCTTTGGATGATACTACTCAATATAGAGGATTTATTGGCAGATTAATGTACTTAACGATTACTAGGCCCGACATAACATATGTAGTACATTGTTTAAGTCAATATATTACTTCACCAAGAGTGCCACATATGGAAGCATAAATCATCTTCTAAGAAACTTGAAGCATAATCCATACCAAGGGATTTTCTTATCATGTAAACAATCATTTCAATTAAGGGCTTTTAGTGATTTCAATTTGGCTGTTTGTCCAAATACAAGAAGATAAGTAACTGGCTTCTGCATCTTCTTTGGTGATTCGTTGATATCGTGGAAATCCAAGAAGCAAACAATTGTGTCAAGATCATCCACAGAAGCTGAGTATAGAGCCTTGGCTACTACAACAAGTGAGATAGTTTGGCTTAAACATCTCATTCAAGAATTTAACATAGATTCTTCACAACCAACTCTTTTATTTTATGGCATTGAATCTCTTGCCTCTAATCCAACTTTACATGAACACACTAAACACATAGAACTGGATTGTCAGTTCATTCGTGACAAAGTTCTTGATCATACTATTAAACTCATGCCTATCAGAAGTCAATACCAACTTGCAAATTTGTTTACTACACCACTTCCCAAGCCAAAGATGGTTCCTTTATTGTCCAAGATGGCTCTTCAAGACATTTTCCAGAGTCCATTTTGAGGGGGGTGTTGGAGGTATTTACACGAAATTGTTGCCATGTCAGCAAGAGGTTGTTAATCAGTTAGATATTAGTTTTCTGTTTCAGATTAGTTAGGCTCATGTTAGCAGCTTATAATAGCATAGATTATTCGGTATATATTTACAAATTGTACTTTGTAATCAGATGATGAATAGAAAGCTTTCATTCGCTTTTCTCCATTTCTAAATCACAATTTAAACAAAGAAAACCCATCAAGTAATTAATTATATTTTCCAAAACACGTTCTAGGTGTTGATCCAAAAGTAGGGACAGGGAACTAAAGATATTTCCTTACACAACATTTCAATTTTTTATTTGTTTTAAAATATTTAATTTAAATTCAAAACTTCAAATTTCATTCACTAAAATTCACATTTACATAACAAGGATGACGATGAAGTCCGGTAACTAAAGATATTTCTATTTGGTGTGTTGACAGAATTAAATTTATTTGGAAAGTTCTAATAATTTGAAGTGGTAAAATGTAATAGATAAATTTGGTAAATTTTTTTTGATAGTTTTGTATTTATATTGCATAAAAAGTAATAAAAAAAAAAAAAATATAGATTAAAATAATTAAGATAGAAGAGAGAAATTTCCATCATTATCATCATTTCATTATATACTTATAAAGGAAACATTTTTCCTTTCACCACATTCATTTGAAACTCCCATTCATTTTTCCTTTCA